CAATGCAGGAGAATGCAGGTTCAATTTCTGGGTTGAGATCCCCTGTAGAAGGAAATAGCAGCCTACTCCATAATTCTTGCCTGGGAAACACCAAGAACAGAGGGGCTTGGTGCTCTGTTGTACACAAGGTTGCAAAAGAGTTGGAGGTGATTTAGTGACTAAAACATCACCACCACCAAAGCATTTCGATTATCAATTATTGAAATAAGGTGTATCAGTTTAGTCTGTGGAATATTTGCACCAACACATCAATTTGAAAACATTTGTTCCCTTAAAAACGATTGGTAAGCAAAAAATATTTAACAGTTAAACAATATGGAATAAGTAAATTGGCAAAGAGAAATGAAAATAGTGTTAAAATAGTGTGATAGTGCCCAATCACAATACCTGTTTTGATCATGTGAATTTGTTTCAACAGATTGATATATTAGGGAACAATTAGTGAGCAGTGTCGGAGAAGGCAGTGGCACTCCACTCCAGTATTCTTGCCTGGTAAATCCCATGGACAGAGGAGCCTGGTAGGCTGCAGTCCACGGGGTCGCTAAGAGTCGGCCACGACTGAGCGATTTCACTTTCACTTTTCCTTGCGTGTACTGGAGAAGGAAATGGCAACCCACTCCAGTGTTCTTGCCTGGAGAATCCCAGGGACGGGGGAGCCTGGTGGGCTGCCGTCTATGGGGTCGCACAGAGTCCGACACGACTGAAGTTACTTAGCAGCGGCAGCAGCAGCAGCAGCAGGAAGCAGTGTGGAAATGGGTTTGCTAATGTAAGATTTTGACCTCAAGAAATGCTCAGTGAATGTAGAAAAATGAGCCCGGATGAACTGAGCACGTAGAAACACAAAATGCAAACATGGGTACTGCTCAAGTATCTAGCGGTTATTTCAGTTCACTATTCTCTTGTATGAGCCATGGCCGTTCACCTCGAGTGTTAAAATCCCCCTCAATTACAAAGAACCCTCCTTTTACTACTTCATAATATCTCACAGGCTGCACCGCCTGAATATCCACTTCAGCAAGCAAGTTTCAGCATTTTTTTTTTAAGGTTAATTGATATGTTCAATGTAATATTTCTGCATGAACCCTTCACTATGTGTAAAACTGCGCTACTGTTTTTATTGGGATCTTTTTTTTTTTTTTCAGTGTCACTGACCAAGTGTGTGTGTTGTGTCATTCTTTCCATGAGCTCTGTGGTATTTTTAGCATGATTTTGAATGGCTGAATACTTTTAGGAGCATAGATATTGCATTGGAAGCTTCCCAAGTGGTTCAAGGTAAAGAATCCACTTGTCAGTGCTCTGGACATGGCTCAATCCCTGGCTTAGGAACATCCCTTGGAGAAGGAAATGGCAACACTTTCCAGTGTTCTTACCTGGGAAATCCCATGGCCAAAGGAGCTGTGTGGGCTGCAGTCTATGGGGTCACAAAAGAGTCAGACAGAACTTACCAGCTAAAAACAAACAAGCAAAATATTGCATTGGAGGATAACTGATTTTATGGTAAACTTGTGATCAAACTGGAAATAAAACTGCCATATGACCCAGCAATCCCACTTCTGGGCATACGCACTGAGGAAACCAGATCTGAAAGAGACATGTGCACCCCAATGTTCATCACAGCACTGTTTATAATAGCCAGGACATGGAAGCAACCTAGATGTCCATCAGCAGATGAATGGATGAGGAAGCTGTGGTACATATACACCATGGAATATTACTCAGCCATTAAAAAGAATTCATTTGAATCAGTTCTCATGATATGGATGAACCTGGAGCCCATTACACAGAGTGAAGTAAGCCAGAAAGATAAAGACCAATACAGTATACTAACGCATATATATGGAATTTAAAAGGATGGTAACAATAACCCTATATGCAAAACAGAAAAAGAGACGCAGATGTACAGAACAGACTTTTGGACTCTGTGGGAGAAGGCAAGGGTGGGATCTTTTGAGAGAACAGCATCGAAACATGTATATTATCAAGGGTGAAACAGATCACCAGCCCAGGTTGGATGCATGAGACAAGTGATCAGGGCTGGTGCCCTGGGAAGACCCAGAGGGATGGGATGGAGAGGGAGGCAGGAGGGGAGATTGCGATGGGGAACACATGTAAATCCATGGCTGATTCATGTCAGTGTATGGCAAAAACCACTACAATATTGTAAAGTAATTAGCCTCCAACTAATAAAAATAAATGGAAGAAGAAAACAAACAAACCGTGAGCTAGGAAAACAATTTCTGTGGAGTTTTAATAATTTAATGCTACTATACATTATTTGATTCTATATAATTTTTGAATGCAATCATACTGAACTTGGCGAAGATAGTACAGTAATTAGATATTGCACATAGGCCTACATTGTCTCCTTATATAAATATTCATGCTATATTAGAATCAATTTTCATAAAATGCATTATTTATGTGTATGAGTTATAAATTTAATATGGTCTTGGTAAATGGCAAGCTAATTTTATCAGCATTGTTAATTCATTTAAAAAACTTTCAATTTTGAGTTCTAATTGTGGGATGATTTAGGAAATGTGCTATTACCTTTAAAAATGAAAATAGTCTTCAAAAAGAAGGAATAGCTTGTATACCCATATATTTTACCTATTATAAGTAATCTTTATTTTAAGATTAAAATGCAATTTAACTATACTTATTTGTATCTTCTTAAATATATTCATATTTTGGCAAAATGTAATTTAAAATTCATGGCAAAAAATATGAACATTCACATTATTTATTTTATAACTCTAAGCTCTTGAAAGAGTTAATTAACCCCTACCAAGCTCACATTTTTTTCATAAAAATGAAAAGCACGAAATTTTAGAATAGATTTAATGAGAACATTTATATAAAATAGAGCTTACTACCATAACATAAAATATATGTACAAATATACTATTTTCCCTCATGCCTTCTTTCTTATTTTAAATATCATGTATTAATAGAGAATATCATTAAGTAAGAGCCTAACAAAACTTTTTTTTTTCTATAAGTTACTATGGAAAGATTTATACAACAGCCTGGCGGTATATAAAACACTAGGAAAGAAAATGGAAATATCTATTGAATATTTAAATATCATACTCATTATCTGCAGCTATAATATAGTTTATATTTGGAGCTTAGTATGTACAGAATAATTGAGCATATATTTGTGGTCTTTTACAGTTGTCTACCATCTTATTAAAATCTTCATATTCCTTCTTGGGGTATAGGTCTTCAAGCATGATGGTACCAGCTTTCTCTGTTTAGAAATTTCTGGGTGTTTCATTGTCAAACTAATTGGAAGACATTAATGACATTTCACACACAGTGGCCCATTATGCCATATGTCCAGCAAGCCTAGTTTGTAAAAAGTGCTCTCCATCAAATGTCCAGTGAATAGCCACATAGATGAAAATCTGTAATTAGTTAAGAAACTGAATGTTTTACAAGTAAACACTTTGGGATGGCTTGATATAACAAAATTTTCAAGAATGTAACCATGGTGTAAATTGTTTTAAAAATGTACCTTTTATATTCTAAAACCTTTCAAGAGTCTTCAAAACTTGCAAAAATTATGTTGAGATGACAATACTACTAATGTTATTTGAGTCACTAATAGAACTGTAGCAAACTACCTTACCACATCTGTTTCCTGTCACATCTACGATGGTAAGTTCCCTACATATGAACTTGTGAGTTGCAGACTTTCAAAGATGTGAATATCTTTCCACATGTTTAATCACATAAGCTAGTTTACATGTTTAGCGTACATTGTCACATGTATATATCCTCTACAAGAGGTTATGCTTTTGTGTGCTTTACTGTACAGTGCTGCATAGGGTACAGTATCTTTATTTTAAGCCCAGGATGTCCAGAAGTAAGCATAAAAGCAATGGTGATATAGCTGGTACTTCTAAGAAGCCCCAAGTGAAAATGATGAAAACAAAAGTGAAAATAATTGACAGAGTGGAGTGAGGTGAAAAGACAGCAGACATTGCTCATTCTTATAACCATCAGCATGATTCTAAAGAACAAGGATAAAATCATGGAACATATGAAGTCTTCTGGGGCAATGAGACTGACAGTAATACAGGAGAAGTGTGGGAAAATGATGGATGAGATGGAGAAATTTCTCAGTGTGTGGCTACAAGATTAGCCTCAGCACTGAGTCCCATGTAGTTTATATTGATTCAAGAGAAAGTGAAAAGTCTTACGAAAACCTGAAGAAGAAACATGGAGAAGAATCAGAGGATGAATCTTTTAATGCCAGCCATGACTGGTTTCATTGGTTCAAGGTTACAGCTAAACTTCACACTGTAAAAGTGGTGAGGCAGTAAATGCAGATATGGTATCTGCCCAGGAATTTCCTAAGATGCTTTGAGAAATTATTGATGAAGGCATGTATTTACCTGGGAAGGTTTTTTTAATGTGGCTGAGATAGGACTATATGGGAAGAGGATGCCAGATGGAAATCACATCAGTCAGGGGGAAGAGTAATGCCAGGGTTTAAAGCAGTAAAAGAGAGGCTAACTCTGTTGTTCAGTGATACAAAGCTGAAGCCTCTTAGTTTATCATTCACAGAACCCAAGAGCCCTTAGAAACATAGTCACACGCTCTCGAAAGTAATCCCAAAGTATGGGTTACAGAGGACATTTTCCAGGACTTTTTTTTAAAACCACCTTATCCTAACTATCGCTTGGAGAAAGCCCAAATTCAACTTTCTTTCGCTGTTCAACAATGCTCTGGGCCACTCCCCGTTGATGGAGCATTTCCATTCCAATGTCATGTCACTGAATGCTAATGTCATGTCACTGAATGCTAATGTCGCTCATCCAACCTGTGGTCCAGGGAGTTATAGCAACTTTCAAGAAATATTATTTATGTCACACTTTTCTTTAGGCAGTAAGGCAAGAAAAATAACCTTGTGATAATTCTTGAAGGACTATAACAGCTACAAGGTCATGAAAAACATTGACTTTCCTTGGTGTGAGGTTACAGCCATCACCATGAATGGGGTTTGGAAGAACCTTTGCTTGAAGATTATTCATGATTTTGGTGGACTCGAGAAGGTGGATGAGGAGTCCAAAAAAATCTTTAGCGACTCAATAACACTCAGCGATAAGCTGGAGCTAGATCTGCAAAAGGACCACTTCATTGAACTCCTTGAGGTACAACACAAGAAGCTTGCTAATGAAGACCTCATGGAATTGGAGGCTGAGAGCAAGGATGAAGAGAGACCAAAGGAAGAAGTAAGTGAAGAATCAGAGAGATTCCCAATGCAGGAAATGGCAAGGGGATTTTCTCTATTTGAGAGGCACTGATAGTGATTGAGGCACAGGACCTGAACATAAAGCAATGCACTAAGGTACCATAGCCATTCAGAATGCATGGTGCTACTGTGTCATCTATGATGAGCAAAAAAGAGCTACTACCCAGATGTCCCTGGACTGTTTTTTCAGAAGAGAAGATGGAACTGAATCCAGAAAGGAACCAGAACCTGTGCCTTCATCATCAGGCATGCAAGACATTGCAGCTGGCCCTCTGTCTCCTGTTGCTGATGACCCTTCAGCTCGACCTACTGTCTGCGACCTTCTCTCCCTCTCCAGTCAGTAGCTGTTCTGGCCTGTCCACTTGAGGCCAGCCTCTGTATGCCAACTGTTGTGCTGTATTACTGTACTTCTCAAGGTATTACATGGTAAAATTTAATTGCTTTCTTTATCTTTTGTATTTGTCTTTTTATGTATTATTTGTGTGAAAATTATTATCAACCTATTACAGTAGAGTACCATATAGTCAATTGTGTTAGTTGAGTACCTAGGCTAAGTTTGTTGGAGTTATGAAGTCCTTCTCAGAATGAAACTCTTTTGATTGTAGGGGACTTACTGTATTTAAATATCTAATTATCAAGTCCTCATTTTAAAATATCAACTAAGCAGAAAAGGTGTCAATACATTTCATTCAAATGCTTCAAACTGGGTTTTACAACATAGTGAGGAAGGTACTATACCAATAGGCCCAGTAATATTTCTCTACCTCCAGCTTAAAGTGGTGAAAAACTAGTCCTGGAAAATGGCCTGTGTAACCTAGGGGTTTACATTTTGGGATTCCTCTTCCACACAACAGGAAGATAGCCTGTGGCTATGTTTTTAAAAGCTCTTGGGTTCTCTGAATGATAAACTAAGAAAAGCTTCAGCTTCATATCACCAAACTGCAGAGTTAGCGTATCCTTTGATTCTTTATTCTCAGATAGCTCAATTTGCGTGTCAATGCAGGAGAGACGGGAGATGTGGGTTCAGTCCCTGGGACAGGAAGATCCCTGTAAGGAGGAAATGGCCACCCACTCCAGTACACTTGCTGGGAAGTTCTACAGACAGAGGAGCCTGGCAGGCAGCAATCTGTGGGGTCACAAAGAGTGAACATAGCTGAGTGACTGATCACGAGCATGCAGTTTCTCCTTTATAGCCTGGCATCAACTTTCCCTCCTTCCTGATATAACTTTGGTCTGGCAATTTGTTTGCTTGTATGGTTTTCTTCAGCAGTGTTCAAGCAGTAGAACTCAATCAGGGAAGATATTGGCAACATGCTAGTAAAGGAAAAAAAAAAAAAGTGACATGAAAGGGGATACATCAGAAATCAGCACATTTTTCAAGTAAAGGACCAGGTTGTGAATATTTTCAGTTTGTGATCCATACTGTCTCTTTTGCAAATACTCATTTCTTTCTTTTTTTTTTTATTTTTTAAATTTATTTATTTATTTATTTTTTATCACAACCATAGTGTATCTTTTTTTTTTTTTTTTACATGTATTCCCCATCCCGGTCCCCCCTCCCACCTCCCTCTCGACCCAATCCCTCTGGGTCTTCCCAGTGCATCAGGCCTGAGCACTTGTCTCATGCACCCAACCTGGGCTGGTGAACTGTTTCACCCTAGATAATATACGTGTTTCAATGCTGTTCTCTTGGAACATCCCACCTTCGCCTTCTCCCAGAGTCCACAAGTCTGTTCTATACATAGGAGTCTCTTTTTCTGTTTTGCACATAGGGTTATCCAATAAATCTTTACTTAGAAGATAGATGGTGGGTCAGAGGTGACCCAAGGAAGGCAGTTGGCTGATCTCAGTTTTAGGTTACCGGCAATAGAATGTTTAAATTACTCAATTATGGTGTCTACAATATTGATTTCCAAATATGACTACATAATTAGAGTCATACAAGGAGTTGTTACGAAGCACTAATGCCCCATGTCTGGTTGCAGAATTGCTGGTTCAGTTCATTGCCATGGGGGCCAGAGCACTGGAAATTTAAAAATCTCCCCAGGTGATGATAATGTGACAAAACAGTTAAGGAGATCCATATGCATTTTGTGCTCAAAGGGGACAACAGTCCACAAGAGGACACTAATGGAATGTGAGGAGGCAGAGGTGACACCAGCGTAGAAGACTCTTGAGACTTAAAGCAGCTGCAGTGAACTGTTAGCACAAGCTGAGTAGAGAGGAGACTGGTGAAAGGTTGGTGAGCTTGATTTAGTGATGATACAGGTTTTGTAATTTATTATTTCAGGCACTGGCAGGCAGCTTCTAAAGTTACCCCATTTGATTCCTATCTCCTGGTATTTATACCCTTGAAGAAACCCCTACTCTTGAGCTTGCCTGAATTTATTAACTCATTTCTTCTAATAGACTCACTTCTTTCAGAGCAACTGAGGGGTGTCGCCTCCAGGATAGGGTTGCAAAATCTTTGGCTTCCATCTCGGGAACCCTCCGTTTCACTCTAAGGGAAGCTGGTTGCTATGTGAAGAGACACTCAGTGGAAAATCTCACATGGCAAAGAACCAGTGCCCTCAGATGACAACAGCAAAGAACTGAAGCCTGCTAACAGCCACATGGAAGAACTCAGAATCACATCCACCATGGCTATGTCTGTAGAGGGTGGCAGCCTCGATCAACTTCATGATGATAGCACTAAGAAAGCCCCTGAGCTAGAGGTCCTAATTAATCCTGGCTAGGATTCTTGACCTAGAGAGACTGTGAAATAATGAATGCTTATGGATTTAATCACATCAATTTTGGTGTAATAAATTAAGCAGCAGCAGATAGCTAATAAAGGAGGTGATTCAGAGAGAGGAAGGCTCAGTTGAAGGGGAGATAAAGGTCATAGAGGTTACAAATATCATCCAGTGAAACTACTGGTCTTAGAGCTTTGAACGTGGGAACAAGAAAAAAGTCCATAAGCCTGTTTGCTAATAATTTGACTAGTAAAGCTCTTGATTTGGGAGAGCAATTGCTTCAGAGAATAGATGATTTTATTCCTGGGAGGAGAAATAGAGATTTCCCAGACACATAGGGATCAAATAAAGGAAGATTTCACCTCTGGATTTTTATACAGGGAGGATGAAGAGCTTCCTCCAAAGGGGGGATGTGCTCAAGGCACAACCAAGTTCATGATGGAAGCATTTGTGGGTAGACAGGGAGTGCATGGAAACTCTCATGATTGATGATAGATTGATGATTGATTTGGAGGTGGCCAGACAGCATTTTGTCTTGTCTGAGTACATTTAAAATGTTCTCTTTCTTTCCAGAATTTCTGCAGTACACTTATGGATAAAATATATTTTGCTTATTTCAGAAAGCATAATGTGCAAGCTTTAATGGTATTAAGTTGGTAGAGAAAATAGTGAATATAATAAACCCTATTCCATTTCAGCCTATTTTTTTAAATTCTTTTAGAACAATTTCAGAAGAACCTTGAATAAATGATATATTTATATGCATTTTATACCTTTTTATTGTGACTTTATATCAAGTGAGTAAGTTTTGGGGTATATTTTGGTAGTTAATATTCTATAGTTTGGAGAAGCAATTTTGAACATCCAACTAGTAAGCCCATATAAAACTACATAATACCACAGAATATAGCAAAAGAATAATTTAATGAACTTAGAAGACAAACTACGCCTTTGTGCCAAGCTTACCAGGGAAGATACAATTTCAATACCAATGAAATAAACTCCCACAAATTGATTTTTCTTTGTGTGCACTCATCAGTGTAAACACAATTAAATTATAAAGCTTGTACTTGTTCAGGAAAGATGTTTTTCTATTCATATTCACGTTGTGTGGGTGCCTTGGTTTCTGATACTTTGTTATATGGAAAGCTTGCAGAGTGAAAAAATAATACAAGTACTATAAGTTTATGAGCCTTTATCACAGAGGATTAACAACATCAATAATGTTATTATAGTTTTTCATCAAATGATAATATTAAGAATGTCTTTTTGAATTAAACTGTGAATTTTATAAGGTTTGAAAGTTTTAAATTAGCATGCACAGTAATTAAATAACAGCTAATTTGTTGCCATTATAATAATATAGAAGACAAGAAAATCAAAGTTGTGTCTTTAATTTTTTTATTTCAGAGAGTTCAGTTCAGTTCAGTCACTCAGTCATGTCCAACTCTTTGCGACCCCATGGACTGCAGTACACCAGGCTTCCCTGTCCATCACCAACTCCTGGACCTTACTCAAACTCATGCCCATTGAGTCGGTGATGCCATCCAACCTTATGGTCTCTTTGCTGTCTAAGGACTCTCAAGAGTCTTATCCAACACCACAGTTCAAAAGCATCAATTCTCCGGTGCTCAGCTTTATTTCAGAGAGTAGATTTACATATAAGTAACCACTTTTTAAGGGCTAAAGCACTTTCCATCAGGTTTATAAAATACTTTGAATCACTTCTATGATCTCTACCTTTCTAATGAGAAAATTATGACTCAAAGATTATCATCTTGCCCCAAATCATGCTGTTAGTAATATACAGTTTGAAATTCCACTTTTACTGATACCAAAACTTATACAGTTAATTAAATAATCAGTTATGTTCAATTCTGTTTAGCTAAATACCTAATAAACATTTTACCAGCGATAAATCGATGTCTTGTAGGAGTTTCTGTCTGACAGCATACCACATATTTCATGTGCTATCTGCACATATGTATGCTATATGAGATTACATTCTTGGGTCACACTAGTGTGAATTAGCTATCTCAGGAAAATGGGATGCTTATTACTGTGTGTGGAAAGACTACTTTTTACACTGACACAACTAAGAGAATTTTACTTTTACAATAATTTCAATCAGGAATCAGAACTAAATGATACTTTTGAACAGGAGTTTTCCAGACCAGAAATTATTTTATCATCATAAGATCAAAAAAGCTCTAAAATTAAAAACAAAATTCCATTTAAAACTTGAATTTTTTAAATGATTAGATGAATATCTTTATTTTCACATCAAGAGTTGAGACAGTAAGGAGTCAAGAGTTAA